ATCCTTGGGTCATGTTACCTTATTTGCGTCATTCATGAAGCACACCAGAGAGCGGTTTGATCCACTAGGCCCTGACTAGGGATTCCCAGTATTTCAACCGCATCTTTTTTTTCCTCTTCTCTGCCTCTTTTCTCCATCCCCCCCTCGAACTTCCCATTCTCTCCCTCTCTCTCTCTCTCTACCTTCCTACCTCACCCACTCATTGACCATCCTCATGAAGATGATGATGATGAGGAGGAGGAGGAGGAGGAGAAGAAGGAGGAGATTGTTACCTTAATTGCGCCATTCATGAAGTGCAACAGAGAACGGTTTGATCCACTAGGGAGTCCCAGTATTTCAACCGCATCTTTGTTTTCTTCTCTTCTCTGCCTCTTCTTTCCACCTCCCCTTTTATCTTCCCATCGTCTCTCTCTCTTTCTTCTACTCTTACTCACTCATTGGCCATTCTCATGATGATGAAGAAGAGGAGGTGGAGGAGGAGGAGGAGGAGGAAGAAGAAGAAGATGAGGCGGTGGAAAGATAAATGGACATGGAGAGGATAAACGAGGGAACGAGAGGGAAGAGAGTGGAAGATGGGTTGATGGAAGGAATCGGTAGATAATCCATCCATGTCCAGCGGTCATTTGTCAATCAGTGGCGCAACAAACATCGCACGTCTAATTGTTGATGAGTTAGTGGGACTCGCGCTGGAGCAAGATAAACAAAAAGAGAGATGCTCTAGCTTATTAATCTGCCAAGTCTTAAGATAATCTGTAGAGTTGTTCACATTTGCAGAATCAATTATTGGTAAAAGTATGATGAATGATTGGCTGGGCGATGATGGTTCTTGTCGACGGAGGGTTTGATGGATGAACGAACGCGGACGTGCATGAAGTGTGGCTTGTAGATTTTCACATATATGTTATATCTCTTGTCATTTGCATTGTGGGGCAGCAAGCCCACATGCTGAAACAATCTGCAGAAATTTCACCCACAAAATGATCGCAATGAGAATACCATATTAGTATTTAAAAAAAACAGTGTACCAAAACTGTACATGATTTGTTAAACTAGGAATTGAAATTTGTTCACGATTTACTAAGCTAAAGTGAATATCGTAAGAAGACATCTCGATAGTCATGGTATCTTTTTGTAGGTATAGTGAAAATCAAAGAGAGATGGAGTTTTTGTTTCATATTTGAGTTTAAAATAAGGGAATTAAAATAACTCTTTGCACCATTCAGAACACTAACATTTACCTTGAACTAGTAATGAACCAATACGTGAAGTGTACATGTATCTCGAAGACTCCAAAACCTCATCTGACATGATACGTAACGTTGTCCGACCTTTAGGGAGAACTCGTGAAGCATCGTTGGTCCAGTCGTGGGGGCGGGGGCGGAGATGAGAGCGTCGCTTGTCTAGGTGGACGAAAAGCGACAGATGACAGTGTAATATCACTCCTATAATAAACTAATATATTTGAAGTTTCATCAGCCCCTCTTCCTCCGCTCTTCTTATATTGACATTATAAAGGAGGCGTAATGGCTCAGTGGTAGAGTAGTGGTCTCGTTTACCGGCATGTCCCTGGTTCGAAATGAAATCTATGAGCTCGTGCACCTTTGGTAAGGCATAGATGGTTTCACCGAATTCCTTGGAGAGGACTTAATATGACTTAGATAATTATGTAGGTCCCCTGGTTGTCTACCTCCAAACAAAGTTGTATATCATACAATTAATTTCTTAGAAATCAATTAAAATAAAACATTTATCAATACTCCTTATTTTACTCTCTCTCTCTCTCTCTCTCTCTCTTTCTCTACTTTTTGTTTTCCTTGCCATTCGATTGTATAATTTCCTATACAATCTTCTTTATACAGGGCAACCGCTTCAACAACGAATATTGCTGTCAATTTGCCCCCTGTAACTCCCGCAATACACCCCTACTCCACTCTACCGTCAAGAAATGTCATTGCATTCATTAACATCCTCATGTCATCTCATTATTCCTGCTTGTTCCATCTGTTTGAAAAGACCCTCTCTTGCTTGGCAAATTAACCTCACGATCTAATCAAATAATTAAGGATACTACGACTGACGCATGCATGTTCCCAATACATTATACATTTCGTCTGTTGAGAGCCAGAAGGGCAAAATATCTCTCTCAAAAAGAATTATATGAGATAATGCCCTCCTGACTTTAATCAGACCATCTATGCCCCATAATTATGCCTTCCTTCTGTCAAAAGAAGGGCACCAAACATTCATAAAAACGAATGATGACGGAAGTTGATTATGCGGACAATGGCATCGAAACCTTAATCAATTCGATCAAAAGACAGTCATGTGAACCTTGCGGCCTGATTAGAAATAACTCATCACGATGCTGCTCTAAACAGAATGACAGACACAGTCATTTAAAGATATAGAGATACATGTATATTAAAGATTATGTTTAAAGATAAAGTCCAGTTCTGGTCATATTGTGAAAGACCCATTGTGCAAGCAGCTGGGAAAGGTTGATGATGTAGTACCTATATACTGTAAATTTGTTGTTATGATTAAACTGAAAAGAAAAGAACAAATTGGTTTAATTCAGCTATTCTTCATCATATTTCGAATATGAGCGGACGTTTTTATTGCATTATTCATCCAAACTGACTTACAATTATTTTGTTTAAGCTTACAAATTAATCTTCATCTTTACCAGAACTCACGTTCACTTCAATATTCAGACCCCCTATCACGATGAGATTCAAAATGGCGACTTCATTAATATGCGATATTAGTCGATATCTGGGTCGCGGATTACTGTGCAAACATATTCTAACCTAATTCTTTTTCCCAATTGAGATCTAGTCTCGTTAAGCAGATGATGAGCCTGAAGATTTGCGGTGGGACACTGAAAAGTGGAACACATGGTCAAGCGGAGAACCGTCGCATTTTACTTTGCTTTCACGAAGATGCCATCACAAAGACGCCATCTTGCTACATACTATTTTTAACATAATCAGATAACCCTAAATTGAGTCGACATAACGTCGTATATTGATTAGGTTTTGAAAGGTCCAAGACCTTTTGGAGTTAACTAAGATGTTGGGATATAAAGAGAAATAAAAGAAGAAAAATAAGTCGCCAGACAATTGGGAAGAGGAGAATAGATAAGAAAAGAAGAAAGAGAAGTAAAAAGTAAAGGTAAGGGGAAGGAGTAGGAGGTCGATGAGGAGGAGGAGGAGGAGGAGGAGGAGGAGGAGGAAAAGAAGGAGACGTAATTCGGAGAAAACAAAACAAAACCAAGATGACGAAGAACAAAATCGAAGACTCGTGATGGCTCAGTGTTAGAGCAATGGTCTCGTTACCGGGAGGTCCTGGTTCGAAACCAAGTCGCTGCGCATTTGCCCTTTTGGTGATGTATAAATCCTTATTACCAAGTCCCTTGAATATAAATTAAAGATGAAAATGAACTAGTTTCCTGCCTAGGAGCAATCTACTTTTAAAAGATTTAAACAAAACTATTTTATTTATTTTCAATCGAGGAGAATGAGTACAAGAAGAAGACAAGAGAAAAATAATTAAGAAGAAAAATTGAAGGGAAACAAAAGAAATTGCTGACTGATGCTAGAATTGTTTTCTTCTTCAGATTCCATTCCATTACAACATCCAGGCATCGATATCAAAAAAGATTTTCTAAAGGAGGCCATCTCCCCGTTAGAATCTAATTTATGATCGGTTGGAAACAGAGGTGAAACAATATCAGGTCGCTTGGGGTACGGCAATACATTTAAAGGGAGAGCTCACCGGTTGCCTTTTTTCCAAAAGTTCTTATTTCGGAAAGGGTTGTTAAATCCGAATGTACCTTAATTCCGAGAATGAAATAAATCTCACGACTTCCTAAAATGAAATAGGGTTCATGAATTGCTAAAATGGAAAAGCATTCAGATTTTCTATAATAAAACAGGGTTTGCAGGTCCAAAAATGAAAAAGCCCTATACCACTTTAGAATTAGCGAATTTTCAAAATAACTTTTTACCTTCGAAATTATGAACATTTCGAGAGAAAAAAAGGATACCGTCGTAAACAAAAAACACGAGTGACTCGGAGAGTCAGTCAGTGCGTCACCATGGTTACGAAAATGAAAATATGAGGATTTATGACAGCCCTCTTTTTAACTGCTCTCTAGGCAAATACATTATTGGATTTCTTACCCTGAAAAATACCCTTTGTAGACAAATATGAATTTGACATGAATGTTGGAATTAGTGAGGTATGAATATGGCTTTATAATTATGGCAGAGAAAACAGCGGGGAGATTGGGATAAGGCAAGAGGAAAGAGAGATAGAGAGAGAGAGAGAGAGAGAGAGGAAGGGGGGTATAGAGAGAAACAGGAGAGGAGAATAGACAAGAGGAGAGGAGAGGAGACATTAGGAGATGAGTGATAGAGAGAGAGAGAGAGAGAGAGAGAGAAATAAGGAGAGTGAGGCAAAAGAAACGAAATCGACCTTCGATTAAAAATAAGCCGGCTAGTAGAAATACTATACACCAGCTTATCGTGGATTCAACAGAAGATAAAACATGAAGAGGAAAATGCATAACTTTGAGGCTGAACAGAAGAAAAAAAGGTGAAATTAAATGCATCGTCATCCCCACTGAATGTTGAGAACAAAACGAGGCATGGATATGAGCACGATCACATGCTTTCTTTCGTCGTTCAAGGTCCAATAGAGTATGTTCGGAATATTAAAATACGGCAAACACAAAGTACAACAACATCCATGCGACGCGACGCTAATTTCTTTCAATATCAATCTCAAATCGCCCGAAGCTTTTTTTGATCATTTCTTTTCTTTGTTAAGGCGGAATGTGTCATCAATGATAAATGAAAATGATACGCATTTTCATTCCAAACACAATTTGTGCAGTTCAGAAGAAAAAAGTGTTGCGATGTTTTTGATGAAAAATCCAATCCAGGTATTTATAAAGCGCCAATATCTATTTGCCTAATCAAAAGGCGCTGAAATGAGATAAGAAATTTTATCGAACGAAGGGCGATATAAATGGTTTACATTCATCAGTGACATCACGAGTTCGCGGCGGCTTCTCTTCTGTGATGACCCTTAGCGGCATCTTGATAGAAAACAATAACATGCCGACACCCTTTGAGTCAGCCGCGCGGCTTCTTTCATGTACGCGTATCTATAAAAGGAATGTGCGCAATGTATGTTTCGAATTTATATATGGAATTATTTTAGCCGGGATATATTGGTTCTCACGGTGTTGGCGTGAGAATCCTCATTCACCTTGCAGATTTTTTAGAGGATGGTCATAGACATTATTCGGTGGCAAATTAATTTATTGGACTTTATTGAGGAAACATTGTAGTCGGCAACTATTATACTTCGATTCCACATCGGATTTACAGAAGGGAACATTTTAATACAACTTGGTTCTTCAGAGTAATTATATACGGCGACGGGATTTTGAATTGTGTACATTTGGAGTTCATAACTGGTTAACTTTATATTAGCTACATAACTTTGTTAATTGTATCATCGCGTCGGGAATTATAATGCCGAAGGCTAAGCAGCAATCCAGGTGGACAACTGTTGACCGAACTGGGTCCTCACGTCCACGGAGAACTGCAACTGCAACAGCTCCGCCTTCCCAGCCCGTATCAGAGCCTCTCGTCCAGGCACCGCAGCCGAACCCCGGAGTGGAGCAGCGGGGACCTGGTCCATCCGCAAGTGAGTACGATTCTAGGCCGTTGGTTTGCGCGGGTATTGATACATTAAACTCAATTGGAGGCCCTGAGCAGGCGCAGCAGGTGGGGCTTATGATCAATGCCCCTCCCTTGTTGGCAACTCCTCGGGAGGTGCTGGGGTCAGCTGTTCCTCGCGCATTGCGGGATAGAATCTGGAAAGGCGAGTTTGTTGATTTAGGGGCCTTGCTAAAAAATGTCCCCGTTCCAGACGACAGCGCACCCACGGTTATTGCCCTGTCGGGGTCGACATTGCAGGTACAACCGCAGCGAGGGGTGCCGCGAATAACCTCAATAGAGCAATGGACCAGCGCATTTTTGGTATTTGCGTCTATATACACCGAGAAGCATATAGTTCGGGCCTTAGAGATGTTTAAGTATATGGACACCGTCCGGGCGGCGGCTAGATTTGGCGGCTACGGCTGGCGCACATACGATGCGCAGTTTAGGCTGAGGCAAGCAAGAGAACCCACTAGATCATGGGCTGTCATTGATAGTGAATTGTGGCTTATGACTGCCACAGCACCATGCACGCATTCAACCCCCGCCTACTACGGTGATGCAATTCGTGAAAGCGACCCCTTCGGCCAGACAAATTAATAGTGTTTGTCCTTTTTGGATCTGCCAGTAGCACGATTTACTCACATTCTTTCAGAAAAGGCGCGGCCACATTAGCCGCTATGACCGGTTTGACGCAGGGGAAATTGAGAACACGGGGCGCTGGTCCTCGGACGCGCATAAGAGATATGTTCGTATTAGTATGCTACCTGTTGCATAATTCATGATGTATTGTACCATATTACTTCTTTAATCATTTGAGTTTAAGGAAGCGTGTTAAGAAAGATTATCAGTTATTTGGGTTGATCTATATGTTTAAATAGTATTTATAATTGACTCATGTTTATGCATGAGGCAGTTGAAGATCAATATTGTTACATTTCATTGGTGATTTTGAAACGAGTTATCAACAACAATGAGCTGCCGGAAGTTTTCCTTTTTTCTTTTCATTCCTGCTGTAGGTTGCCAGTCTCGTACAATCCTGCTCATAGGCGATTCCATGATCCACTGGTTAGCCGCCTTCGCGCATCGTAAGGGAAAACAAGGTTTGGGGTCGGCAGCCAACGTCGTTTGGAGAGGAAGGAGGGGCCTTAAGCTAGGTCAACTAAGTGGACATATGTCCAATGGGTGCTGCCCGGTTCCTCTCCGTCGCACATCGTTCTGCACGTGGGGACGAACGACGTCGGGCAAGCTAAAAAAGACGAATTGTTCTTGCTTTTGGATACAACACTCGGACAATTGCACGAACATTTCCCCAATGCCCGCATCATTTGGTCGGATATTTTGCCTCGCAGGACCTACAGCGGCTTCAGTAAAGACGAGCAGCCCAAAATTGATTGGACGCGGCGAGCTCTAAACAAGCACGCCAGGCGCATATGCCGCACGATCGGGGGCAGTGCTTTGACTCACCTGGGCATCAGGCACGAGCGGCGCGAGCTGTATAGGAATGGTGGTATTCATCTCTCCGAGACCGGAAATAATATGTTTCTTCATAGCCTTATTAAGGGGTTGGAAAACATGGCATAGATTTTCGTGGAGTTTTTTGTTATTCAAGTCATAATGAAACGTAGTAATCACGTTTGTTTCGGGTAATTGGTCTATTTTTATTTAGCTCAAGCTTTGTAATTACAAAACTCGTACGTTATAGCAAAAGAGACTTATCAGGCTAGTGGTTTTTATTAAGATGTTAAGTTGATTTATTTAACGTATAGATATATATATATATACAGTATATGTTTCCCCATTTTGATGTTTAAAGGTAGTTATTAGGTTTCGGGTAATTGGTTTATTTAGCTCGAGCTTTAAAAGCATAAAACTTTTATGTAACGGGAAAGAGACTTATTAGGCTAATGGTTACGATTAACATGTTAAGTTTATTACATATATATACCCGGATTTTGATGCTGTGTATTTCAGTTAATGAAAATTACAAAGCTTTCTCATGAGCTTGGTCACAGTTGGGACCATGAACGCGTTTTTCATTGAAGACTGCTTTTGGTTTTAAATGAAAGGTAGTTATCTCGTTATTTTGATTAATTGGTTGATTTAGCTTAAGCTTTGAAATTTCAAAACGTGGGTATTGAACAGATATGGTAATTGGTTGAATGCATTATGTTCAAGTTCAAGTTCGCGTACTTTGTACATATATATATATATATAGCCGTTTTGTGGCTTTGTTTTATTTACCGATTATTGCAGAGTGTTTTCATGAGCTTAGTCACAGTCGTGGCCATAAATGTGCTTTTAACTTATAGTTTTTGGTTGGAAACGAAAGGTACATGTAGTTATCACGTTATTTTGGCTAATTGGTTGGATTCAATATGTTCACGTTCAAGTTTGTGTACTTAGTTCATATATATATATAGCCGTTCGTGGCTTTGTTTTACTATACTTACTGTTATTGCGGAGTGCTTTCATGAGCATAGTCACAGTCGAGGTCATTAAGGTGTTTAATTTATTGTTTTTGGTTGAAAACGAAAGGTGGTTATCACGTTATTTTGGTTAGTTGGTTGATTTAGCTCAAGCTTCGAAATCGCACAACGTTGGTATTGAAATGAAATTAAGGTAATTGGTTGAATTCAATAGGTTCAAGTTCGTGTTCGCGTTTAAAACGCGTAGTGAAACGAAAGTAACCCATTAGAATTTAGGGTGAAATTACTATGTCAGTTTATATGCGTACATTACGCGATAACAATATATACGCTCAGTGGCGGCGGGCGGTGCCCGTGTGGCGGAAATTGGCATTTTTGCCTCTTCGCATATATATATGTGTATGTGTATATATATGTTAATATATACATATAAAGGTTATTATGTGTATTACACACTGCTGCAGAATACCCCATGGGAAGGTTGTGTTTTGGAGAATATGATTTGGATTATTTTAATTGGCCATTGTATCTTGCAGAGCTCAATATTTATTGGTTTCCGGTAAGGGCCCCGATGATAACAGGTATCCTGTTTATTTATAACATGTACCCGCCTGTAAAGTAGGCATCTTTTCGCCTGTTTAATGCAGTGGAACCGTGTGTCTTCTTTGTATGCAGAGGGGTGTTATACGTATAGCCCACTTTGTGGTACTCACAGTTAAATTCCATATGAGAAGGTAAACTCTGTTCGCCCTCTTTAATGAGGAAACAGTGTCGCCTTTTTACGGGCTGTGGGGGGTTGTACACAAGTTCTCGTCTGTTGACGGCCCTGATGCAGAGAGTACTTTGGATTGGACATGCCGGCTCCATCCAGTTTTTCAGAGCTCAATATTTATTGTTTTCCGGTAAGGGCCCCGATGATAACAGGTATCCTGTTTATTTATTTATAACATGTACCCGCCTGTAAAGTAGGCATCTGTTCGCCTGTTTAATGCAGTGGAACCGTGTGTCTTCTTTGTATGCAGAGGGGTGTTATACGTACAGCCCACTTTGTGGTACTCACAGTTAAATTCCATATGAGAAGGTAAACTCTGTTCGCCCTCTTTAATGAGGAAACAGTGTCGCCTTTTTACGGGCTGTGGGGGGTTGTACACAAGTTCTCGTCTGTTGACGGCCCTGATGCAGAGAGTACTATGGATTGGACATGCCGGCTCCATCCAGTTTTTCATGTGCAGATACTTGTATAAATTGATCAAAAGATTCGAAAATGATACCCGGGTCCTTCCCTGGGGCAGATTGGAGCAGTGTAACGTTTAAGTAAACGTATTTTATATTCAGTTGGGAAAGTTTGTGTCGTAGTTGTTATTATTGTCATGATGTTGATATTCAGGGTAACAAGATTCCATCCTCTATTAAATCTCAAGTACCCGCAAAAACGCATCCCGTTTCATTTGTTACTGTGAATGTAAAGGATTTCCCCACTTTTGTCAATTGCATCTACATGTATAAGAACCAGGCGCGGTTCTACAAAAATACACATATTTATATACATTTTTGAGGTGGGGGCTTTGGGGGTTCGTGAATTCATTTCTTACACGTATTTTTCTTCATAAAACATCAATTTAAAAGCAAGATTTTTTTTTAATTTTAATTTTTATTTGTATTATTATTATTATTATTATTATTATTTTTTTTTTTTTTTTGGGGGGGGGGGGAGGTTGGAGGCGGAGGGGGGGCTTGGGCCTTCCAAGCCCAACTACCCTTCCTCTATCACCATCAATACTGATTATATACATGGATGAGTGTTTTACATCAGTTATTTACTAGAACACGTTAGCTGCGTCTGGTAGATTCAACCCTACAGTAAAGCAATGTTATGTTCATATCTTATACAGATCACATAGATAGGCGATAAGTAAAAAAAAAAAAAAAAAAAAACCTTACATATTTCACCAATTCCAAAATAATATTATCCTGGGATAAGTTACGTTTAACAAGGGGAAAACCTTGGAATTTCCCTCTTCCTTTAATGAGCGGAGTTTAAATCTAATGCAGGGTTCAAATTTATGGTAGAATATGGGTTTCAAGTGTCCATGAGCAAAACACATCAACGGGTCGATGATAATTATGCAGAAAGGATAGACCCTCATAAAGACTTACTTCTTTTGTAAAACTAGATATTAGACTGAGCGTAAACCGAGTGTCAGATTTAGCTTTTTAGTAAGATACGGACTCAAAGTGTCTGTTTACTGAGTAAAACATATCAACGTGTCAGGGATATGAAGAAAAAACGAGAGGCGGAGAACTAGCTGCAAACTGGAATAACTTAGGAGGTCACACATATCGTGATTTGCTTATTCCTTATTTACCGAGTCTCGCGGACGGTATGTTAAAGCACATACATAATGTCTGCCTGCTTTCTGAACCGTCGGGAAACACACATATACAACATCAATAATTAAAGGGCAAGTCTGGCACATTTCCAATTGAACTCGCTAGTTTGCATACAGCCTATGTAATGTATATCACTGTTTCATGAAATAATGCGAAACGTTAAAATTCCATAACTTTCTTTTTGGGGGTTCGATTTTGTTGAAACTTTCACTGTTTTGTTCGATTAATTTTCTCTATCTATGCCAATGTGTTGGACTTGCCCTTTAATGTCATTGATACGATATAATAAACATAGTCAAAATATCCGTCAGAGTTGCTACAGACATGTTCATATCATGTTTAGATAACAAGAGTAGGAATAATGACGATAAAGGTCCGTTTTGTGCTTTGTGATTCTCGTCTTTCAATCATAAGATCGTGAGTTCGAAACCCACTCGGGACGTTAATATCCTTCAGCAAGAAATCCATCCACATTGTGCTGCACTCCACCCAGGTGAAGTAAATGGGGACGTGGTACGAATTTATTCCTTGAAACGCAGAGCGCGTGTAAGCTATATAAGCACATATTTATGAATGAAGAAGACATATTAGAACCAGGCAATACACCCAACATCGGGTTTAAGTTTTTAATAGAATACAGCCTTGAAATGTCTGTAAGCAAAGCATATCGACAGGCCAGTGATATGAAGAAAGTATAAATGGAGACAAGAAGCACCGGACGTGGGCTGCATTAACAGAATACACGTATCGTGTGTCTCTCGTAGCGCATCGTAATGAGTGTTTTGAATCTAAAAAAGAAAATCTTTCTTTCCCAACCGTTTCGGATTTCTAGAGCATGCGGATCGCATCACAGATGCACGTACGCCACGACGATGCACTTTTAGGAACAGGGTGAGGAGAGAGTGCGGGAGAGGGAGAGAGAAATAAAAAGAAGGAGAGAGACGTGCAGATAGGGAGAGAAAAGCTGACGTGATAGAGGATGGGAGGATAAAAATAAAGAAAGAAACAGAGAGAGAGAGAGAAATAGAAAGTGAAATACAAAGCTTGATGTTGGAGGAGAAATGTAAACATGTAGACATACACCCATAGGATGATAAAGTCGTCAGGAAGATCGAGGTTTAGCCAAAAATTTACGTGCAACTTGCTTAACTAATACAAGGAAAGGTAGTTTCGAAGAGAGATAATGAGAGAAAATGACAGAGAGAGACAGAAAGAGAGAGAGAGAGAGAGAGAGAGAGAGAGAGAGAGAGAGAGAGAGAGAGAGAGAGATGAGACAGATGAAGGGACAGAGCAAAAAGGGACAGGCCTCAAAACATATATAAATCTTTAGGAATTGATAAAGGGGAGTTAAAAGAAAAGAGGACGAGAAACAGAAATAGATAGAGTATTAGAGGTTCACAGAACGGGGAGGGGGAGAATTAAAGAGAAAAGAAATAGAGATAGAAAGAAAATATTTAGAGGAGGAGAGAAGAGGTGAAAAATCAAAACACGTAGACAGGAAGACCAACACATGTGACGATCGAGTTAAAACCAAACATTTGCGTTACATCGGCTGTTTGCTGAAACATAAAGTGAGATGGTTTCCGATGTGCTATGAGAATGATGATGAGCATGGGAGTGATGATGAGCATGATGATGAGCTTCATAGCGATCACGACGATGGATTCGATGACAAAGTGGGATCCGAAGGAGAGAATGAGGGTCGAATCGATAATGATTGAGTAATGAAATGAATCGCTCTACAGACAGAAACAAAATAAATGTAGGGGTGTTGCTAGACCGTCTGGATTAGAGGGGGGGGGGGGGGGGGGGGGAGACGCAACAAACTTTTGCGTTTTGATAAGGCTCTGAAAATCTCAAATTTTTCCTGAGAAACATTTGAGGGGGAACCGCTACACCCTCTAGCCCCTCTCAATAGTAAAAACTGTGAAATTGCAAGGAGATTTGGTGAAAATAAGCAATACTACAATTTGAAATAGATGAATTTCCACTTTGAAAATGATTATTCTCTATTTACCCCAAAACAAGTCGAGAAAATATAAAAAATGTTGTAGTTTCTGTGTGGCTTAGAAAGCATGAGAGTATTTACATTGCATTATAAAGGTCTGGTGTCACGAGTCATGAGACCTTTTACGAAACACAGTGCAGGTCTCGCTAGACGCTCTGGGGAGCACCTGGGGGTAGGTGTGCGGCAAATTAGTTGCAGACGACAGTGAACGTGTTTTATTATATTATCTTCTTTATGGCGCCAAGCCCAAACACAAAGCTTTTCCCCTTTGTGCACCTAAAGCCGGAAGGGCATTCTCACACTCTTCAACACAAAGTTAATTCTTTTATGGCTAGTATCAGAAGTTGTGACTTGAACTGTACGGAAAGGTTCCAGACGGTTATTGAGTTACAGCTACGAAACACTTGTCGGAGGTCCTTCTGACCTTGCAATAAGTTATGCATGCCCTAAAAGATCAACAAATTGAAGGGTCGTTTTTAGTTCCGTTTCTTATGCGCATTCTTTTCTAGATCAATTGGCTCGTAGGTTAAAACCTCGATAGCCTTTTAAACCGTGCACTTATTTATGCATACTACATCAGAAATGAACAAAATGAAAGAGAATCCAATCATTTTAAACAAATGTGTCGTCACCCTGTGCAAAAAGAAAAGCATCTTGTAATTAAAGATTTGTAGACAAACTGTCTTTCAATATCACTTGAATCTGTCACTATGTGTTCACAACATAAACGAAAGAGGTACGTGTTTTCCTTTCCTAAGAAATTCATCTAACCCATTAATGCCTCCCTAAATATTCAGCATTTTAAATGTTTCAGGTGTTTAACCCCACTTCGAACGCAGTTTTGAGATTTGAAGTGTTGTCAAAGATAATGAATTAAGAAAAGAAAAAAAAAGGGGGGGGGGGGTCAAAGTGAAAGTGAAC